TAGTTGTGGTTTTTGAAAAGTATTTTATAAAATCCGAGTTTTATTTTTATAGATTAGTATTCATTTTGGAACTGCGGAATAGTATGAAAAACGAATTTAACAAGAAAGCAAGAAGCTGGAAAGAAGAATTTTACAATTAGAGAATCATTGTAAACCCAAAAAAGTTCATCATGTAATATTATAGTTTTGTTCCACAAACATGTCAATAAAGAGTAAATTAAATATTTATTCACCCCTTTTGATGTAGTTTAGAGACTACTTCTAATTTTATTTATATTTTATACGAGATTTGAACTCTTAACCTCATGAAAATGAAGAGAAGATAACGTCTGATATGATTGAGATAGAAGTCATTTGATTGTTGGTTTTAGACTTTTATTAGCGTTCAAATCATAAATGTTGTATACTGAAATGTTTGATAGATGAATTTTTAAGAGAGAGAGAGAGAGAGAGAGAGAGAGAGAGAGAGAGAGAGAGAGAGAGAGAGAGAGAGAGAGAGAGAGAGAGAAAATTGTTTATGTGCGATATTTCATTGTAATCAAATCTAATATGAATAGAGAAATATTCCCCTCAATATTTATTTATCTAAGATTGATTCATCTTTTCTTCTTAGTTGTGTATTTCATATTATATGAATCTAGGTTTCTACAATAAACAATTTAACAACTTCTAAAAATTAACTTTGATAACAATTTTTTTTTTTAATAAATCTATAATCATAACTAGATCCAAATTATTTTTACGTAATGGTAATGATTTTGGCATTCGTTGGTAATGTAAACATGTCACATGGAAAGTAGATTGAATGCATGTGTATTTCCTTTGCCTATTGAAGGGACTCATCATTTAATTATCGTAAGGTACACTCATCCTTTATACTTGTTATTCACCAATATTATATACTTTTATCTCTCGTAAATATATTTACTACATGTGACCAACATGTTTTACCATATCTATTATGTATCGTCATTTTTAATAACTTATAGAAATGTCAATATCATATGATTTACGTATAAAAAGCTAAACATCACAGCTACCAAGACCAGTTTTTTTTTAACTGATACGAAAATATTAATATCACTTTGTTTCAATTTGCGAGAATCTTTTAACATATACCAAACCTCTTATGCATGTACCTTGTGCTACAACATATTGAGGTAAATAAATTTTGTTGGTAGGAACTCTTAAATCAAATTAATAATTGATATACTAGTGTTGAAGCTTGGTTCAACGGAATTAACAGTTATATATATATATATATATATATATATATATATATATATATATATATATATATATATATATATATATATATATATATATATATATATATATAAACGGCAAAAAGATATATTAAAAAACAAAACTAGCAAGAACCTACCAATAAAAGGTCTAAACCATTACAAGAACGCAAAAGTTGGGTTTTGAAGACATAACACTCAATCAATAAACAACTTAGACATATTAGAACACCAAACATAAACATAAGAATGAGAAACAATGTTATCGAAAATAGTACTCTTTTTTTGGTATATCTTTACCAAAAACAACCCTATTTCGAAACATCCATAAAAACCACCTGACAACAAAGAACACCCTTTCCAGAACATCTTTCAAATTCTTCCCCATTCTGATGTTACCAAACCAATCGGACCAATCAATAATAGAGTTGAAGACATGCTCCTCCAAACCCCACCACTTCAAGATTCTATGAATGACGGTCTCAGAACAAGAAAAAAACACATGATTGAATGATTCCACTCCATCATTACAAATAGTCACCACTTCAAGATTCTATGAATGGCGGTCTTAGAACAAGAAAAAAACACATGATTGAATGATTCGACTCCATCAATACAAATAGTGCATAAAATCGATTGAATCTCCAAGCCTTACAAAGATAAATTTTGTCTTGTAGGTAACCTATCCAAAACATTTTCCAACAGAAAATATTTACTTTAATAGGAATCAAAGACACTGATCTAGTGGCATTACCACCCGAACCCAAAATAGCAAATTCCACCAAATTTCGAGCAGAAGAAACATAATAATTACCTGAGGTATCTAAATCCCAAACCCATTTAGTAGGATTCGAGTTAAGAGAAATCGATGAAAGAGTGGAAGTTAAAACTACTAACTGGTCAGCCTCTGCCCCACCCAAACAAGAATGATGAAAAGAATCAACAACCAAATTACTATTGCATTTAACTGCAACAGAGACTTCCTTATTACTCTCTAGGGCAAATAACTGTGGGAATCGATCTTTAAGAGGCGTTTCTTCAACCAACACATCTAGCCAAAACAAAATACTAACATCATTGCCAATAAACTTCTTGAAATAACTAAATAAATCAACACCTTTAAGACGTAAAGCATACGAGGCACAAATAATATCAATCCAAACTGAATGTCAATTAGATCTAATATCCAAATCCAAGAGACTATGAACCCCGTTAATAGCTTTGATAACACGCACCCATAAAGAACCAGGAGAAGACCGAAACCTCCATATCCATTTGAAGAGAAGAGCTTTATTCAAAGCAAAAAAACTACCCACTCCCAAACCATTATGAATTTTCGCCATCAACACCTTCTACCAAGCCACCCAAGCAATCTTCCTTTCATCTTTCCCAATGCCTAAAAAAAAGCATTCCTCAAAGCTTCCAGTTTAACAAGAATACCAGAAGGGAACTTGAACAACGACATATAAAAATTAGGAATAGAACCTAGAACTTATTTAAGAAGAGTGAGATGACCCCCAACTAAAAGAGTATCGATCATCCATTTAGATAATCTCGGCTCAAACTATTGCACTACAATAGACCATGAATGAAGTCTATTCATAGAGCCACCCACCATCGATCTAACATAAACAAAAGGAGTCTTAAAAGTTACACAACCAACTAAAGAAGCCACCATCTTAACTTCATCAAAAGGAACACCAACTCCAAAAGATGAGATTTGTGAATATTACTCTTTAACCCAGAAGCAAAGAAAAAACACTGTAGAATAGTGACAAATGTTCACAAAATTCTCCACTTTCGAATCTCCTATGAAAACCGTACCATCAGTGTAAAAAATATGAGAAATTCTGAAATTAGGTTTAATGACAAGAAGCGAAAAATATCCCTCCGCCACAGCACAAGAAAAAGCAATATGAAAAGACTTTGTCACCAGAATAAAAAGGAAATGAGAAAGAAGATCTTCTTGTCTTAATCCTTTATAAAACTGAAACTCTTCCATAAGGCTACTATTAATTAAAACAAAATCCATAGAAGAATATAAACATCCCCTAATCCAACCCCACCACCTAGTTCCAAAGCCAAACTTTCCAAGAATATCATCTATAAAATCCCATCTGACTAAATCATACACCTTCTCAAAATCTACTTTAAAAATCACCGCCTTCTTTTTCTTTGTTTTACATCAAGATAGAACCTTGTTAAGAATCAAAGGACCATCAAGGATTTGTCGGCCAACAACAAAAGCATATTATTGCTCACTAACAAGATCACCAATCATCATACTCAGCCGGTTTGCAAAAATCATAGCAATAATCTTATATTCACATCCTATTAAACTAATAGGACAAAAATCCTTAACAAACTTCACATCAAAGACTTTCGATATGAGGGCAATAAAAGAATGGTTATATCCATTAGGAAACTGACTAGATAAAAAGAATTCTTGAACATCAGCAGTTACATTGGTATCAACCAAGCTCCAATATTTTTTTTAAAAACTCAAATGTAAAATCGTCTGGACCAGGAGACTGATCTGAACCACAATCCCAGACTGCATGTTTAAATTATGCAGGTGAAACTATATCTTCCAAAACTGAGATGTGCTCATTAGAAAGCGATTTAGGAAAATAAAAAAGAAGAGGAATCCAAGAGCTAGTTGGAGCCGAAAATCTATCAGCAAAATGATCAAAAAAATTCATTTTTACAAGTCTTTGGTCTTCAGTCCAATCCCTTTTCGAAAATATACATCTTATCGCCATTTGATTTCTTTTTTTATTTATTATACCATTAAAATATCTAGTATTTTCATTTCCTTCAATCAACCACCGAACCTTTTCGTTTTAAGCAAGGTCTAAAGCCTCCAGTTTATTCAAATCTTGCAATTCTTTAGTGAGAGAAGCTCTAGAATGAATCAACTCAGAATTACCCACTCCATTATCGATTTTTTGATCAACATCAACTAAATTTTCTTTAAGATCCTATTTTTCTGTGGTTTTTCTTTGAAAGAAACTCCTTATGCCATTGCTTTAATTGTTTTTTTTAAACTAAAGCTTCTTTTTCAAACAAATCCAAACATTATTATCATTCACCCCATCATTCTCCCATGAAAAACTCACCGCCTTATCAAAATCATCTAAAAGAAACCATGAGTGAAGCAAACGAAAAGGGGAAGGACCGTAGTCCAAACTACCAAAATACCCCCCTGAATTCCCCACTGAAGCACTACAAGCCAAAATAAAAGAGTTATTACCCCATAATTTTTTAGTAAGAAAATTACTAATATTCTCCTTCTTACTCTCCTGTATTGATAAAAAATGATCTTGTATTTAGAACAAAGTTCCCAAATCCAAGATTTTTTTCTCCTTATGAAAGATAAAACATTCATCTAGAAACGTTCTTACTCCCACAATGACTAATAATATTCTCTAGATTTTTCAAACAACATTCCATATTTAATCCCATAACTTTCCCTATTTAAACAAACTCATCAAGCTTAGAAAGAAGAGAAGAAGCATTAAGCATAACTGGATGTGCAACCTATACTTCTATTTATTTTCTCTCACCAAAACCCTCATCTTGATGCACAAATTCACGTGATTTACCCCGCATGGCAGCATATGAAGACCGAACATCTTGAACATCATGCAAAGAAGCATTTTTTTGAAGCTAATGGAACATCTGAAACCCCATTTCCACATAAATCAACAATAAGAAAAACATTATTATCATCACCATCTTGAACAACCTCGCTTCTCATTGGAGGAATAAACCCGGAGTGTAAGTTTTTTCAACAGATTCCTCGACTTGTTTCTCTAGAGGAAGAAAATTATAAAGTTGAAAAGGATCCTCAGAAACTACTTTTGAATCGTTTAGTTTCTTGTTATTACATGACCCTATACTACTTTTATCAATAATATTATCAACCTGAACCTGGTCATCATCACTATTCATATGATCAGTATGAATTATAGGATCCTCCTCATCAGAATCAGATTCATCTTCAACTTCAACTTCAATATACTTTGGATTCCAACCGATTACTTCTCTGGCACCAATGAAAAACACCTTGCCTTCAACAATTATTTTAAATATCTCTATAACAATTTCTCTCACTTTAGTTTTAATGAACAACCTTTTATGAAAAAAATTATTCTCATTAGGATCCTCTGCATACAAAAGACCCCCCTCCCCCTCCCCCTCCGCCCGGTCTTTGAGCAATTTTAGTAAAGGACTTATTAGTCCATGAAACTGAGGGAGCACCCTCTATATCAAGCCAAATAAACTGGTCATGCATAATAAAATTCTTCTTCCATGGTAATAAAACTAAGAACCAAGATGAAGTATCCCAATGTTTCCTGAAATTGTCTTTAGCTTTAACTAAATTGAACTCCTAGGAAACCCAACCCCCCCCCCCCCTATATATCTCAAAGTCATGTCTGAAAACCTTTTGAATCACATATTTCTCATAGCTTAGATAAACTCCCAAACTCATTATCCTTACCCACTAGAGTAAGAGACAAATCCTTATCAAGCAAACAAGAATCATCAAGAACTAAAGCAAGGAAATCAGATGAATGATTGATCTGCTCATTCACATTAGAATTACCTCTAACGACTCAAGCAAAAGAACGATTCCCATTTCTTGACTGTTTATGAGTATTTAATTCCACATGATCATTACCACTCTCAACATTCATAGGTTTCTTGACAACAATGAAACATCAGTTCTCCACAGGTTTAGGACCATGCAAATATTTGGCAAGATTAGGATGCAATCAAACCCGACCAATCCACATTGTGTAAAGATTGAAAACAATCAATTCAAGATTGGCCACTTTAATAAAATGAACAAATGCATACCTGTTACCAACCTTGGATTTTCCTTTAGGTATAAAAACGTCTACCACATTCCCATACAACTAACATGTTTTCCACAAATCTTGTACAAAGAATTCTTCTAGAGAACTAGTAACGTAGATTGAATGGGAAACCTGTTGTACGAAATCCGAATTAGAACGCCTCTTCACCCTTTGCCAATCCTCCATGAATCAAGAAACTGAAGAAAAACCGAGCAGGTGATGTTGACTGGCGTTTGTTCCCGCCGGGGAGGAAAACTCCAAAATTGTTAGTGCTTAGGGTTTTAAATATTAAGACCATTATATATCTATATACTCTATAGTAAAAGAAACATTTTTTCTTTCACCACAAACATTTGAAATTTTCATGACTTTTTATTTTTCTTTATGATAATGATTATAAATTGATTAAATTAATGTTAAATACATACAAAACCTAAATTGTAAAGGAAGTGATTTGTAAACAATATTCTCAATACACAACAATTTATATATTTTAAAGCATAATTTTTTGTGTATAAAGAAATTTTTTTGTGTACAAATTAGTTTCCAAATTGTAATCATAACTTAACTAAACTTCAATATTAAAGTAATATCTTTTACTTCTATTTATAAATTTATGTCTTTAACTTTTAACATATTATACTTAATGTGACATCCCCAAAATCACGGCAAGAAAAGACCGGTTTTGTTTATACTTTATTTTAAAATCAGAGTTATCTTTTAATAAAAGAGTTGCGGAATTTGTCCCAAAACAATAATATGATAAAGATTTATCAAAACCATTTCCTTAGAAATGTATTTCATTAAAAGACTCGGGATGTCATGTTCGATATAATACATAAATACAAACAATACAATATAAGCCTTACTACATTATTTTATATCTACAGGCCTATATTCGTAATCCCTCGTCCAAACATCATATCTATGCTCAAGCGCCATTACCTGTAATACATAAAACTGAGTGGGTCAGGCTGGGGAGCCTGGTGAGCACATAGGGTTTTCACCCCACAATAAATAAGTTTATTAATTTCATCAATCAACAATAACCCGATTACCCGTTCCCGTTATCCTCACATTATGTCCCTAAACACCTATCATAAGGGACCTATCCTAAGGATCATCATCGGGATGGACACTACTGCTAAGGGGGTTCCCCAATAATAAATGTACTAAAGGCAACCATGTGGGGGATGGAGTGCACCGGTGAACACATCGTTCATAAACACCTACAGGTTGCGAGCCTGCCAGCATTCCACTGAACTGTCTAGAAGAATTCGTGGTCGTCATCTATACTCCGCTAGATGACTGGATCAACAACATCAACATCGAGGCCTCTCATTATTTTATCACACATCGTCTTATTACATCTAACCATATTTTACCCCAACATTTTTGTAGATATAAAATACATATACAGTTTAAATCATTTAAAACTTGTATAAAAATATTCATCCAGCATCGATAGCAAGTATACAGATAATATGCACACATAGCACGTAATATATAAAATACTTCATATCTATGTGTAAGATGAAAGTAACTATGCACTCACTTGAAAAGGTGGTGATTCCGAAATTAACAGCGCTTCGCTTCTTAAAATAATTTCCTTCGACGAAACCTAGTATTATTACCACTAGAGTTTAGTCTATTATTCGCTGAGACTAATTAATAGTCTAGCTATTATTACTATTATATAAGCGTTAAAAAATACTTATATAACCCATAATAATAGCCCAAGTATTTATTATAAGTTCCTAATAACGTTACTATAATTAAATAAAAGCTATATTAAAAATAGCGTAGACGTAGCTCACTTACAGCGGGTTTTATAGAAAACCAGACTTTGCTTGGAGTAGCGTTTCCGAGCCGAAAAGCTCTTGTTCTCAGAGTCGTCGAGCACTCCAGGGCTTCCGCCTCGTGCTAGAGAGGTTCCCTAGGCTTTTCGGGGGTTTCGGGGCTAGAGAGAGGTTCTAGAGAGAGAGAGTAAAGAGAAGAAAAAATGGGAAATGTGTGAAGAAAATGAGGGTGGGAGAGGTGGTATTTATAGGGTGAAATGTGGTTGAACTTGGTGCCACATGTCACCATCTGGTGGCAAGCCTTGGGGAGAAAGCAATGGCCAAGATTGTGCCACATCACCCATTTTCGCACAGCACACTTCCGACTTCTAAAATCCGTAACTTTCACATACGACCTTCATTTTTGACATTTTTTATATACACGCATAGGTAATAATAAGATCTATAACTTTCGTTTAGATTCTGTCGGCTAGTTCTCGACCGATCTAAAATTTAACAGTACAAGGAGATTATATTGTTAAATGTCCGCGTAAAATTCATAACTTCTACATACGGACTCTGTTTTTGTCTGTCTGTTTACCATTGATTTCCTATTAATGAGATCTTCAACTCTCATTTAGGTTGCATAAGCTAAAAACCACTCAAACTAAAAATTCGAGTTTCGGGCTGTGCATTGCTAAGCCGAATCTTAGAAAAATCATAACTTCCTCATACGAAGTTAGATTTAGACGTTCTTTTTATGGATGTTCTCAGTTTAACATATACTACAACTTTGGTTTAGATCACTAAGGCTAAAAAGTCCTCCATCATAAATTCACTATTTACGTCTCCCGGTGCCGTGTCGGTTTTGCCGTAAAACTTCGGCAAGCCATAACTTCTTCGTTATAACTCGAATTTTGGCATTCTCTATATCCACATAATCCTTGTTTCGACCACTACAACTTTATATAAAGATATCGGGCTTATCCCATACTTTAATTTTGATTCTTATTTTTATTCTTTATTAATTATATATTTATAATTAAATAATAAGCACATAAATACACATAATTCACATAATACTCAAATATTTCATCTTTATTACTTCAAAAAGAGTTACAAGAGTTGACATAGACTATTACATTAAAAAATATGCTTAGCCCTGAAACCCTGGCGTTACAATTCTCTCCCCTTAGGATGATTCCGTCCCGGAATTATGCATCAGCAAACAGATGTGGATAGCGACTCATCATGTCATCCTCTGTTTCCCAAGTGAGATTCAGCCCATTCGAATGTTTCCATCGGACTAGCACTAAGTCGACCATCATGCGTCGTAACTTTTTCGTATTACGGTCAACAATTACCTCGGGCTCTTCGATCAACCTTTTATTCTCATCCATCCTTAACTCTTAGATTGGAATTATGTCGGGAACAGCTCCCGTGAATTTCCTCAAATAACACACATGGAAGGTGTTATAAATACCATTGAGTTCTTCGGGTAATTCGAGCTTGTAAGCTTGGTTCCCTATCTTTTGAAGAACTTTGAACGGTCCAATAAACCTTGGACTCAACTTTCCTCGTTTTCCAAATATTATAAGTCCCTTCCACGGTGAGACTTTAAGCAAAACGGAATCCCTAACTTCGAAAGTCATTGGTCATCTTTTCTTGTCGGCATAGCTCTTCTGACGATCCTGAGCTGCTAACATCCTTTCCCTAATCACTTTCAACTTCTCAGCAGTCTCATGGACTATCTCAGTGCCCATAAACTGCTTCTCTCCAACTTCAAGCCAACAAGATGGCGTACGACACTTCTGTCCATACAAGGCTTGATAAGGTGCCATCTTGATGCTTGAGTGGAAACTATTGTTGTAGGAAAATTCTACCAGAGGTAAGTGCTCGTCCCAATTCCCTTGGAATTCCAGGGTACATGCTCTCAGTATATCTTCTAGTGTTTGAATCGTTCTTTTGCTCTGACCATCGGTTTGCGGGTGGTAAGCCATACTCAAACACAACTTTGTACCCAACTCCTCCTATAGACTCCTCCAAAACCGTAATGTGAAACGACTATCACGATCTGATACAATCGGAAGAGGAACACCGTGAAGTCTTACAATTTCCTTCACGTAAGCATTTGCGAGCTTATCCATAGACCACTTCTCATTGGCTGCTATGAAGTGTGCACTCTTAGTGAAACGATCCACGACTACCTAAATTATGTTGTTACCGTTCTTCGTCCTGGGCAGTTTAGTCACAAAATCCATGGTGATATCCTCCCATTTACCCATGGGTACGGGTAAAGGTTATAAACTCCCATACGGTTTCTGATGTTGTGCCTTAACTCTCGCACATGTTACACACTCGGCCACATACTTTGCAACGTCGAGTTTCATCGTCGACCACCAATAGTAGGGTTTTAGGTCCTTATACATTTTAGTGCTACCAGGATGAATTGAGTACATGATCTTGTGTGCTTCTTCCATCAGAAGATCTCTTATTCCTCCCGTCTTAGGTACCCAAATCCGATCTTGGAATACCTTCAGTCCTCGACTATTTACACCAAACACTAACATTTTGCCCAAAAATTCTTCCTTTCGATCATTCTTCTCTAAAGCTTCTTCTTGGGCTTTCCTGATACTTTCCACAATTGTCGAGACGACTTCGATTCTCAACGCTCTTGGCCTTTTCCTTTCAAGGTTGACTTTCCGACTGATAGAATCAGCAACAACATTTACTTTACCTGGGTGGTAAAGTATCTCATAGTCATAGTCCTTGAGTAGTTCTAGCCAGCATCGTTGCCTCATGTTCAACTCCTTCTGATTAAAGAGATACTGGAGACTTTTATGATCAGTGAAGAGCTTGCACTTCTGTTGTAGACGTAATGCCTCCATATCTTTAAGGCAAATACTATCGCTTCCAACTCCAGATCATGAGTGGGGTAGTTCTTTTCGTGCTCTTTCAATTGTCGAGATGCGTATGCTATCACCTTTTCTCTTTGGGTCAGAACACAACCCAACCCGACTCCAGAAGCGTCACTATAAACAGCGAAATCTTCAACTCCATCGGGTAGAGAAAGTATCGGTGTTTCACATAACTTCTTCTTTAGTTTCTCGAATGCCTCATCATGTTGCTCATTCCACGTATACGTAGCTCCTTTATGGGTCAAAGTTGTTAACGGAGCAGCTATCGAAGAAAAGCCTTGGATGAACTGTCGATAATATCCGGCTAATCCTAGAAAGCTTTGAATCTCTGTGGGACTTTTCGGACGTTCCCACTTCATTATAGCTTCGATTTTTACTGGGTCACCATTATCCCTTCTTGGTTAACCACATGACCCAAGAATTGGACTTCTCGGATCCAAAAATCACACTTGGAGAACTTAGCATAAAGCTTCTCCTTCTTTAACACTTC